AAACAATATGTATATAGTGCCAAAGTTGGTATATATGCTTCAAGTATCAAAACTCTCGAAAAGAGCAATCGATACTATACAAGGGCCTATAATAGGAGTAGCTAAATACAAGCTAGGAATTGCAAGAACAACAAGCAATAGTGTAATTATTTATAGAAATCTAGACAACTGCAATGCACTATAGGACCAATTGCTAATTAAACAAATTACAAGTCTGCATACACAAATTAATTCAGTAGGTTCTGAGGAGAAACTAACAAGAATTAGAATTAATCAAGGATTGCTACTATTAGGTGCAACAGAAACAAATTGGCAGATAAACTCAGAGAGAGTATGCAGCAACTTGTGGAAAAACAATTTAGTATGCCAGCTAATGCTCAGAGCTAAAGAGTTACAAATATCATTTAAATTTAATAATATAGATATTAAAAAGACAAAGATGAAACTAAAAATTGCAGATGTGTTAGAAGACAACTTTACAATACAAGTAGCCTTAGCATTAAGAAAGCTTAATATATTTTTAGTAAATCAATTTATCAATAAAGAAGGCAACAGAATGATTTCATGACAACAGCTTAAACTATTGAGGAAAAAATCGAGCAAAAGTAGATTAGCAAGATGGTTTAAAAGTATCGAAGAAATAATGCTAGAAAACAAAAGTAGTAGACAACTTAACCAGAATTTAGGTTACCAGAAGAGAATAAAGAGTTTTCACTACAGACAACTTTAGACAGGTGCTCAAACAATAACAGGAAAAAAGAATGGGTCATACTAAAGTCACCATGAATAGCAAAAAAAGAAAACTTAGTAATTAGGAAGATAGTTGCAAACATACCAAAAAAGGTGCTTACAGAACATTGGAAAACAAAATTATAAGAGAATAAAACAGGCAAGTGTTTGGAAAAATATAACAGTTGCAACTTGGATCAAATTAGAGAACAGAAAAGTTGTAAAAAATAGAGTAATAAAAAAGACATTCAAGGCTCTCTATCAAGATTTATTAGTAAGAAAGAAGTGTCCAAACTCAAAGTAAACAAGAAATAATAAGAAGATTAGAATGCAATAAGTTAATCAAGCCAAGCAAACATGAAAGTCCAGTTAAAGAAATAGTATATGAAGATTTAGATATAGAGCTTATTAAAAAGCAACAACTTAGTCAAGTACTCAAAGAAAAGCTAATTCAAAAAAACAAAAAAAACAAACTAAGAAACAATGAAGTGTTAATTTTCTATACAAACAGATCACTCAAAAAATTAGTAATAGAAAATGCAATAAAGAATGAGCATATAAGAATAGGCTGGGTGCAAGTAGATGGCAAAGAGAAAAAAGTAATTGATGAAGGTACAATTGAAGCACAAAATTGGCTATCATTAATGAAATCAGAGTTGCTTGCAATCTGGTATATGCTACTAATAACATTAAAAAAGAGAAAAGTCAAAATTTATACTAATAGTACAGTAGCAATAGCAGGTCTTAATAAAGATAAAAAGTTAAAGTCAAGCAAACATTGAATAAAAGAAAAGAACTATAACCTTAAGAGAAGTATTTTAGAACTACTTAGCTTAAAAGAATTAGAATTAGATTTAGTTAAAGTAAAGAGACAGTGATAACAAATAGAATGATAGAGCAGACAAATTAGCAAAAGAGAAGGGCAAAATAGTTAATATCAATAGAATAATAGAGGTGCCACCTTCAATTTCAAATGTTTCACTCTATTGGGAGGATTTAGAGATTGAAAGCTTGACAAGAAAGTTTATCAAAAATGTACTAGAACTTAAAATTGAAGCAGAATGGAGATTTATATCATTAATTCAGAAAACATAACCAAATCCAAAAGAAGAAGAGCATAACTGATCAACATTATGGTAAAGCATTAAGGATCAAAGTAGAACAAAATGCACAAGTATGAAAAGAAATAGAAAACTAGCAACACTAATTAAATGTATAAACAAAAAATTATCAGTACTCAAGACTTTGGCACAAAGACAACCAGACCTATACAAAAACACAATCTGTATACTATCCAATAAAGATCACAAAAAGAATCAAGACTATCTAACAACATGCAGTAAGCATGAAAAAGGATAGAAGAATACAGAAAATATGTCAATTGATTTGATATAAACAGTATTTGCAGAAGAAATCCAGAGGAATTCAAGTAAAGAAGAGTTTAAAAGCTTTTATAGTGAACCTCAAAAGAAGAAAAATCAGCAAACAGATCCAAAATCATCAAAAGTCTAATACAAGAAAAAACCAAAAAATCTGTATAAGATATTATACAATCTCTAAAGAAAACTAAGAACTTCATAACAGTTTTCACAAATGCAATGTAGAATGGTTTTTTCGAAAATATATGAAAAAAATGATGTAATAGTATCACTGACTGAGAAAAACTAATAGGAATTAACACTGTAATTAAAAAGAAGAAAATCAACAGAAAACAAAACTTCTCAAGCAAAGAAACACAAAAAGATGAAAAGAATATAAATTTAGATAAACAAAACTGAGCCATAAGAGAAAGAAAAGAGAAGAACAAAGTTCAAACTCAGGAAACATGGCTCAATTCAGTTTTTAGTTTTGTAAATAGAAACATAAGACCTTTTTTTCAGAGTCTTACTGACTAGCTTGATATAGCCCTAGACCAGGAATAATCACCTGGCCTGTGTGGCAGACCACTCCTAGGCACTCATAGAAGTAGCCAGAGGATGTCAAACCAAAATTTAAGCCAACTTTGTATAACATATATACAAGAATCTTAATAAAGATGATCGGCAAGACTGCCTAAGTTATAAAAAAAAAAAATTAATTTATATAACCTACATGATGCATGTGACTAAATCACTTATCAAAACTTTAAATTACTAAGACTCCAGAAAGACCTAAATATTTATAAAAAAATTAATATATTTTATTGTAAACAATATATAAGATACTAATATGAAGAGAAAAATTTTGTTTAATATAAATTTTTAAAAAATGCAATAAAGAAAAAAAATAGTTATAATAGAAATATTTCAAGAGTTTTTACACAATTGGCTATTTTAAAATTCAAAAAAACTTTTCATAACATAAAACTATAACTTATTCTCTATTAGTTTAAGCAAAAAATTATGTCATTATATTTAAAAATGAAAGAGAAGTAACGATTTAAAAAAATACAATTTACTATATAAATTTCTGAAATTCTAATTATGGATATAACGGAAATCTGGGCTGACCAAAAAATTCTGTTATACGTATAGCATATTCGTTATACGTATCTATATACCTATATACCTATATAACGAAATTAATAAGAGTTAGGCTGGATTCCGTTATAATGGTTAAATAAATATATATATATATATTGCTAATCTATATAATGAATTCAATATAATGCGGCAACTTGTAACCAGAATTTTATAATAAAATCAGTATATGGACTGGCAAAGAGTTCCATTATACGTAATATGGCCTTTTTACTATTAAATCCGTTATAACCATTATAAATTATATATTAAACTGGTGATTCCGGTGTAAGGGTGTCCGTTATATTCATACGTATCGATGGATATCCTTATGTCCAGAAAATTCCGAGCTGCCGGGATTTTCTGGACATAAGGGTACCCCGTATCGATATGATCTACATAGTATCGTCAAAATCAGACGATTGACCAATCAGAATTAAAGCCCGATGTTGTCGATCCTCACGTGCTCAAGGTTTTTATTGGTGAGTTCTAATGCTAATATCTCCATCGGCATTAATCATTTTTAAATCAGATACAAATTTTTTCGGCGATATTAAGGTTAGAATATCGTCATTTTACCGAAATTTCATCGGCTTGTTGGGTTTTCAGCTTTACCAGGATTCTCCGTTTCGCCATTTCACCAGGGGATCTCGTCTTATGTTTCGTCTTTCATAAATGATTTCGCCTAACAACTATAGTTCAGCACCAGAATCTACATCTACTCCTCAAAACTCTCCATATTCACCATCTTTACCGAATGAATCATCTGCGGATATCCAAAGTTCCAGACAAAAACTAGGACTGATAACAGATATATACGCAACGGATCAAAATAATTACAGGTCTCAAAGTTCACCAGATACACCATTACAAGAAAATGATAATTTTCCATCAGATTCACTTTCAGACTCAACTTTCTTTTATAGACGCCTTGGTAGAGGGCATTCACACTCTCTTTCCATCGATTCAACAATGTCTATAGATCAACATCCTGTGGTATATTCATTTTCACATGGTTTACTTTCCACCACTTACGAAGCAAATGAAGATTCAACTCCAGAGTTAACTCCAAATTTGGTGACTTCAATAGACACTTTCACCCAGAGATCTCCATCACCAAAAACTCCGTTTTTCACAGAACATTCATTGTCATCAACTTTTGCTAATACGTTACCAATGAGTTCATCAGGAAAATCAGAATTGTTGGTGGAAAATCCTCCTCGTAAACTTTTGTTACAATCACCCATGCAACAGATTATGAATAGTAGCAGTGTGCAAGATCGTTATTTATTTCTTTTCAATGATTTATTAATCATTGCTAAACCTATTAATACTTATTCACAAAAAAGCAATATATCAACTACAGAGAAACTATATCAAGTCAAACATATCGTTGAAATGAATCAAATTATTCAAATTGCTCTTACTATGCAAGAAGATCGTGATGCAGCTTTGATTAATAAAACACCGAAAAGAGAACCTACTGTTATGGCAACATTTTCTCAAAAATTTTCCACAGATCCTTATGGTTCAATAGCTGACATGTTAGAAAGACGACATATAAAAAATGATCCAGTTCATATTGCAGCATTTCTTTTTAAAAAGGCCGAATTAAGCAAACATCAATTAGGCTTATACCTTTCTAATCGAAGAAATAAAGAAATTATGATCGCGTTTTTAGACAAATTTCGATTTGAGGGTCTCTATATAGATGAGGCTTTACGTTTATTTTTGATGGGTATATGCCTACCACCTGAAAAAGAGTCCTTCAATTACTTATTAAAGTCATTTGCAAATCGTTGGTATAATGCAAATGTCAACGTTGTCAAGTTCAATGAAGAAATGTCAATAAAGTTGACGTTTGCTATGTTAGATCTCAATCATGAATTACATGAAAAATATAATGTCACGGATAATCAAAAAATTAAGAATGTCAATAGGACTAATATCATCACGCTTCAAGACTTTGTGAATCGATTTCGTCGAGAAAGTGATCAATTTTGCTTAGTTCCTGATGAATTATTAGAGAAAGTATATTATTCAATTTACGAGGATAAATTAGTGTTTGCATGGGATGACACACTCAAAGATATCTCACCACAGATACCAATAAAACTTCATCCAGCGAGATGGCCAACTCGACTTACCCTTCTTACCCCTTCAGATCCTATCACCATCACAATTCCCCATCCTGACCCTCACTTTTCTATAAGACTTCATGGGCAAGATTTAATATTTGATCCGCCTTTGCTTGATTTCACACATACGAATTCATGTACTTTTAGTATAACAGGAAAGACATTAGGACTACATTCCATGGTACTTATTAAGTCAGGGGCACGTTGTCGTAATTATATAAATTTACCATCCACCAAAACAGTGTTGGTTGAACGGGCATTTATGAAATGGACATTTCAGATTTCATTTATTAACGACAATGAAATGTCAAGAAAGTATCATTTTAGTGTTGATTCACAAGAACGTAGACGCATTTGGGTTGAGAGCATAAAAACAAACGTTTTAGAAGAAAAATTACGATCCAATAGTCTTAGTAGTCCAAAATTTTTGATTATAGACGATGATGATAAAGAAAAAGAGGAGGAAGAAGAAGATACTACGCGGTTTATAAGATCTTCAGCATCTCAAGTGGACCCAACAAAAGCAGCTGAAGCAGTAGCTTTACGAATGTTGAAAGACGCATTGATTCCTAGTGAAGATGCTATTAGGGAATTTACAGATACCACTAAAGATAGATCAAGTTCAGCCACTAATGCACTTGAAAATATTTCTAGTGGGAGTCCAACGATAAGAAATAGTATAAGTACTAGTATGTGGAATAATTTGAATATTGTGAATACAAGTCCGCCAGTTAATCCATTCGCATCATATGCAAAAACTAAAGATGAAATTATTCATATGACTACCCAAAACAGTCTCTTACCATTTCTTCTTGGATTTTTTACTAAATATTTAGAAACTGATACAAAAAATTCAAATACATCTAACGTAAATACTAACAATATAAATATCGATAGAGAGGATTTTTTATAATAGATTCAATCAACTAAGATATTTATAGTGAATTAATTGATATATTTATTATAATATGTTTAAATTTGTAATATATTAATCATGTCAATAATTCGAAAAGTCCGAATAAAACTCAGTCGCATGTATAATGATAATAGATTTTGAAAAATCTTTTGTTATCCTCGAATAATGACTCAGATTAATAAATCACAACTTCTCTATAAACGATGTGCCATAACCCTAACTCTATGTATATGCATATAAGATGATGTATGATAATATTTTATTTTAATTAAAAACTCGCTGATTAATAGACAAAAAAAAAAAAAAGAATTTGAAAAGGGCTTTATGTACGACCAAACATTATAAAACCAGAGAATTTTATATATACATGATGATGCGCTAAAGTATTTTGTGTATTGGTCATATGATTTTAATTCTTCTATCAATAACCAATTCGTAAAACTAGAGCTTTAGCGCATCTCTACACATAGCCCTGCACATAACCCTACACATAACCCTACACATAACCCTGCACATAACCCTGCACATAACCCTGCACATAGCCCTATACATTGCCCTTGCACCACCATTTAACAACATAAAGTTAAACCTTTCCATATGTACTTTCCCGTAAAGACAAAATTTTAACAATATGCATATCTATGGATATATTTGGGTCAGAATTTGAAAGTGCATTTAGAGAAATAATGCAATTAAAAGAGTGTGCACTTACATTTAAAGAGTTCCCTGTGTATTTGTTGTTGATATTCCAATAACATTATTTGTAAACTGATCCATCTGATTTGAAATTACATTATCATTCAAACCATTCATATTATTCATATTTGTCTGTTGTAGTCCAATCAAATCCGACCACTCATAAATATTAGTAGTCCAATCGAGAGAAATTGGAAGTGATAAAAATGGATTATTTTCACAATCATTAAATAAAAATGATGAAACTTCTGGAATATGAGAATCGATAAATAATTCATTATCTGTTTTCATCATAGGATCATTAAATGACATATAACTTGTAACAGAACTATCAGAAGCTGGAGAGGAATTTGGATCATAATTAATTGCTTGTATTCCATTAAGAGTTGAAGGAACATGATTAATCATATGTTGTCTTATTGCAGCACTATATTCTCGAATTGAAGCAGGTGTCGAATTTATTTGACTTGGAATTGATGGTGGTGTTGAAGGAGATTGAGATGAAACTGGAATTTCATTGGTTATTGAAACAGAAGACATATCATCCAAATTTGTAGAATGATATGTAGAACGTCTTTTTCTAGAAGAAGGTTTTCCATTCGATCCATTATCGGAAGTGACATTAATACTATTATCACTATCAAGATTAATATTCTTATATTTAATCAAATTGCTTATCATGGTATAACACCTTTCAGCAGCAAACCAATGAGGTTTCATATAATCTAAGCATCTTAATACCATCCTAAGACCGTGTTTAGCTACTTCTCTAAATCGATTGTCACCACTAAAAGCATTTATTAAATGCATAGTAGTAGAGGTAAAAAAAGGATAAACCATGTATGACCACGATTGTTGCAATCTCCCTTCTTTAACTAAACGATGTAGGATATGTATGATATGATTTGCAGCTTTAGTGCATATAGTCAATGATGGAATAGTTGAAGGAGGAGTTTTTGACTTTGGACAACGAATATGAGGACGATGTAAAAGAATTTGAACAGTATAAAATAATAGATGAGCAAGTAATTTCTTTCTGTTAATCGGACCATCAAATGTGAGATTCGAATAATCGTATTGAAGTTCTTTTGGAAGTTTTTCTTTCCATTCATTTAACGCTGCGTGTAATGAGGGTAATAAACATTGATTATTATTGTTTATATTCTGTTGTGCCTTTATACCATAAACATGAGAGAGCACACGTCCAAGTATTAAAATAATCTTAAGTGCTTCAATCCATGCATTAGAAGTTGGATCATCGGGCAGTAATCCATTGGTGGGAAGATCGACGTCGAATTCAGCCTCGTTAATAGCAAGCGGCTACGATGTACGAACGATAATAATGATTTTTTTTTTTTTAATAATTCAAATAATACCAATATAAAAAAGTAAAAAGTTTACATACTCGGCCCAATTGAGCGCTTGATAGTCTATCTATCATAACACAAGACCACCATACACGCCTTCTAATTTCAGTTTGTCTTGCATCAAGATTCCATTTTGAAGAATCTCTATGTAATCCCATATCTTGAGCAAGACGAATAGCTATACCCACATATAACCATGAAGAAGGATTTTTTGAACCTTGTAGATTTCCTGCTAACAGTACAAGCGCCTGAACGTTTGTTATGGTCGGATTATCGAACTCATCTTTAAGTAATTCTTTTGCTCGTTCAATGTATTCCTCACCTTTCACATCATAATATTTAATTGATTAATAATTTGAAATATCATATCACAAATTGATAACTATATTAACGGCAAATTTTAATTTTGTGAAATTTAAAACGAAGATATCTTGACAACTATTTGATCAAATTCTATTATTTTAATTCTACATATTTATAAAATTTTTAAAATGAAAAAATTCTTACAAACGTTCTCAAATAGAGTTATTTTTTCAAAGCTTTGAATTATTCCGATGACTAAATCAAATTCAATGAATTTTTTTTTATATTTTAATTCTTATAAATTTGTAGATTCATCGAATTTGAGAAAATAGTCGTCGAAATATTTTTGTTCAAAAATTTTGTAAGTATTTAAATCATAAATTTTTTTTAAAAAAATTTTGATCAGGATTCAGATAGAAGTAACAACATTTTTTTTAAAAACTTGAAAGTTTCTAGATTTTTGTAATTAGAACAAAAAATTTTCATCGAGTAGCAATCGAGACATAACAGAAAAATTTTAGGCGAATTTGATTGTGTAGTTGTCTAGAATCTTCATTGAAATTTTCTTTTTTTTATAAATTGAGGCGTACATAACGATAAACTGATGTACGAAAAAAATTTAAACATACCGACAGTAGATGGATCGTCAGGATTCTTATAGACAGCAGGACCTTGATGATGTTTGGCAGTGATAGCAAACATGGCATAAAGAAGTATGATCAAAGATTGATTGTTCTCCAAATCGTTATATTTTTCCATAAATTCCTCTTTATTAATGAAAGGCATGTATGAATGGCATTCTCTCCAATAAATATCTAACAATTGATCACGCAATTCTTTTGGAGGAAGTTTTGATGTTTTATCTGAGTGCGTAATTGGTTTTGTGAAGCACTCTTGACGATGATTAGAATTATCTTTAAGAATTTTTTTTGCGAATTTTTTGATTATTGTTATACCAGAACTATTTCCTATATATCTTGTATGCCCACTTACATCGATTGAAAGTTGACCCATACTATCGCTTAGGTCACAAGAGTGATCCCCATCACTTGATAAACACTCATCAGTATCACTGTCGTGAGACTCGTGGGATTTCATAGGGTTTAACTCCTCATTGTTTGAAGATGGTGAATCATGAGATTTTGGTAAATTATTACCGATATTATTTTTAAAGCTATTTTCATTAATATTAATCCACTCGAGGTTTGAGTTAATTACACTTTCAGGTAAATTTCCGGATTGTACCAAGTTCCCAAGAACGGATTCCATCCTTTGAAGCCTTGTCTCCAATGCTTCAATATAACCTTTTGGAGGACCACGTTTTTTAGGTGCGTCAATGAAAGAGCTATCAAAAATTTTAAAAAAGTGTCTCAGTAAAATCAAATAGTAAAAAAATATATATATATGTAAAATAGCTCAGACTAGGAATATTATATCGCATTTATACTTGCCGGCAAATCCCAAACCTCCAAAAAGCAATTTTTCTTTAAATCAAAAAATAATCATGATACTTTACAAATATATTATATATGGTTATGAAACATATCATTTATTTAAATATTATTAATAAAGTTTTTAAAATACTAGTTTAGTCAAAGTTTGGGATTTGGGCGGCAAGCATAATCACATTAAACCAAAATTTCATGAACAAGAAAGAATTAAAGAATTTGATATGAAAGTACCATTCATAGTTGTAAATTCTGCAATTAGTACAAGATGGAGGATCAGAACCAGATTGAACACCATCACATCGAACTTTTTTCCTTCTACAAGCATCACAAGCTCTAGCCACTCTGCGTCGTTTACTTGATTCTTCTTCACCCGACATGATTATAAAATTGACTTATTATCAAATGTAATTATTTACTGTATTTATTTTAATTTTTTTTCGTTTAAAGATGCAATGATTAAAAAAAATGATTTTTTTTAAGGGGTTTTCCTTTTTAATATTAATTTATAAAATGCAGTTCTGAGAAACATTTACTAACACTCCTTGATAAACCGTTCTTTTGCTAATTATAGCTTTTATTCTTTTTATATGTAAAGAAACTAGAAAGAAATAATATTATTACGATATGCACACAAAAGACAAGCCAAATGTCAAGTCTGTGCGTAACTAAGTTTTATTTATAAACCTAATAGTACTACGACTACAAAGTAAAATTTAAATAATAAATAATTCATATGATTTATATACAAAAATGTTTACAAAGTTAGTATGTTACAAAGGGTTAGCGTTAGTCAAATTTCTGCGGCATTTATATGTGAGATTCAGATTCAACTCCGGGTATTAGTAATCATTATAGACAAATAATAATAGTACACATAAATTAGGAAAAGATTTTTCCATCAAAAAAAAAGTAGGTGGAAAATCGGATATAAAAATGAATGCCCTTTTTTTTGGACTTGTTTCTGTTTGGTATAATGGCATCTTAGTTACATGAACTTTACTTGTTTATGGCGCAGTCATGTCATATAACAATAAAGGTAAGGTATTGAAATAAAGTAACACAGTGTATGTACATACGCAAGCTTGTTTTTTCTACAAATAGTGGTGCAGGCGTAATTAAATAATTAATTACAACCAATCACACTTTCTCATTAAAATCGATTTTCCAGAGTTTTTTATATGCCGTAATTAAGTTACTACAATTAACCTGTACGAATATATATTCATATATTATACTTTTTTTAATACTATTTTTCGGTTATTGTACGTAATAAATTTTTTCAACAAATGGATCTGAAACGGATTAATTGTTGATATACAATAAGATAGATCGATAATGAAAGTGGCTGCAAATTGTCTGTTACAGAAATTAAAAGATCTCCTGCGGATCTAATTCTTTATATATTGCATTTTATTAGAGGGTTTCAAGACGTACTGCGATCTGTATATTCCTTAGAGACATATCGCAGGATGCTTATGTCTCTGGGGGCTTATACAATCGGTAATCAAGTCATGAGGATTACATGTATGGGCTTATATCAATTTTAAAGCTATTTTTTAATGATTCAATAACTAGAAGATTGCTTTTTTTGGTTATCGGATTATTATAATATCTTTAAAATGCACCGAGATATGAGCCATTAAAGCCAAGGTATTGATTTATGTCAATCTGCCTGTTTTCTAAGTATTGACGGCAATTAATATTATTTCTATTGAAGACTCTTATTGGAAATTTTGGAAAACATTTGGTACAGTAGTAACGGTAAACAAACTACGTATGTGCATAGGGATGTTATCCTCCTAAACCAGTTAGTTTGTGCTTCGAAACCTGCTCGCCTGCTCGAACACTACTCCGAAACACATACATAAACTGAATTTCATACTCCGCTTTAAAACTGGTTATACATATGACTACGTATTAATTATGTTTGCCTGAATCAGAGTCCTCGGATTTTTCTAGCAGCTAAAATAGCATACGTAGCGATATTACGACAACCACATATCCAAATCCAACCAAAATTGGTTTATTTTAATTCTACACATGTCTATAGAATACAATTTTTACTGAGATATTGTTTGTGCTATTCTAGATGCTAGAAAAATCCGAGGGAATACTGTATATTATATATTAAAATCACTGATCACCAAAGCGTTTGTTTGTAAGATTGGTATGAACACGATTCGAGCACATAATTCAATTCACGTGACTAAAAACAATTTCGAACAAGGTTCGAATAAGCATAACATCCCTAATGTACATACTGGTCGTATATAGAAATAATTTTTCTTAAACATTACCTGTTTTAATCTTATTTATTTGATTCTATTTATTTGATTTTATTTGATTCTATTTATTTGATCTTATTTGATTTTATTTTTTAAAATCTATATTTAATGGGTTCTATATTTCACCGACAATTCCGTGAAAAAAATTCACAAAATATTTTTATTGGTATAGTCAATCAGCATGTGCGCTAGTCAAATGCTAGTCCTAATCCTATTGATGCCGGCTAAATGAACTTCCTGTAGAATGACTCAGAGAGATGAACGAGATAATGTTACACGGTAGAGTAATTTCGATTAGAGGCCTGCATTGGGTCCCGCAGCCCGGCCCGGCCCGCAAATTTTTGCGGGCCGGGTCGGGCCAAAAAAATTGTAAAATTTTATAATAAATTTTGCAGACCGGGCTGGGCCAAAAAATTTGTAAAATTTTATAATAAATTTTGCAGGCCGGGTCGGGCCGGGCTTAAGAAAAAATTTGATATATGCGGGCCGAGCCGGGCAGCAAAAAAATTTTAACCCTAAATGCGACCGGGCCGGGCCAGAAAAAAAATTTTAACCCTAAATGCGGGCCGGGCCGGGCCTCAAAAATAGGCAATTTGCAGACCCCTAATTTCGATATAACTAACCTGGATTGGGGCATGATAAAAGATATTTGGGGATGCAATTTTGCGTAATTTTTATGTAAATTTTGGATCATATAACTTCAAAATTTCAGACACGTGATTACGGTTCTGCACGTAAGTTTCAAATTTTTAAGTTACAATATATGTATCTTAGTAAGTTATTATGTAAGTTCCACAATGTAACTTACAAAATTTGCCGTAGACAATTGGGGTGTTTCACATCAAATGATTTATTATCGCAATATACACAATATGATTGGCGCACTATGTAAGATTTTTGTCGATCTTGTTTTTTTTGCAGAAATATATTATAAACTTTAAAGCGTTATACCTCTTTTTTACTTGAGCAAATCTACTGCCGTGACTTATGAGTTATGCATAAAATTAACATGGCTTTAAAACTATGTTGCCAAATTTTCAATTTACTTATAAAATTTACCAATTTTCACTTTGAAAATCGAAGATTTGGTATTAAAGCCACGTTAATTTTATGCATAACTCATAAGTCATGGTAGTAGAGTTATTTTAAAGTTTATATAAAAAAAATAATATCAAAAATCTTACATATGCACCAATCATATTGTGCTGCACTATGATAGTAAATCATTTGATGTGAAACACCTCAGGTGTTATGCATTCACATTAATTGGTTAAAAAAAATTTGTGAAACGCGCTTATAAAAAATATTTTACTCACCAGATCAATTGAGATGCTAAATATGATGTATTTCAAATCAATATAATATGGATTAGAGATTAAAATTTAGTCCAAAAATTTATATAATTTTATCCGAATCCAAGTTTTTTTTATAAATAAATATCTTTTTTGACTATATAATAAAAAAAAATTTCTAATTTGCCACATGCATTTACCGGATCGTAATCCTACACTAATTTAGACCTCTTCGTTTAGATTTTTTACGTTACACCTGATCTTAAAATTCGATTGGTCAAAATTACAGGGGTGACCAATTTTTCATACATAGTAATAAAATCAGGATATAAGTGCTCGTTTCCACCATTTTCCTTTTTCTAATGTCATTACATTTTCGTACACTGAAATATAATTTTTATCTTTGTCAGCGTGTAAGATTATCTATCAGTGTAGTATTTTTGAAAAGTAACAAGATTAACATACAAATGAACTAAATTCCTTGCTTTGATCAAATAAGCTAACCTCATGGCGAAATTCACAATTCAAAACCGTAAGAAAATTTAGTTTATCAAATTCTCAAGGACGATACGGAGATTGGATTTATAGTCCAGAAGTTTCCGAGGCTTTAAATGCTAAAAAACCCGTTGTAGCTTTGGAATCCACTATTATTTGTCATGGTAAGCAAGACATTATTGCTTATAATTCGTCTTTCCCCCAAAAGGATCCAGTAATAATTAATATTACATTATGTTTAGGTATGCCATATCCACAAAATTTTGAAACAGCTCTTACTGTTGAAAACATTGTACGTGAAAATGGTAGCATACCAGCTACAATTGCTATCTTGGATGGAAAAATTAATGTAGGTAAGTTCTTTTGAAATCATACATTATGAATTACAGAATATATATCATACAAGTTTTATACCAAAGGATAATCAGATTTAAATAAATTTAGACTGGTCTAAATTTAATTAAACTATGATAACTTATGATCTAATAAGATTTAAATAGCACACTTTGTGTAATATTTGAATTTGACCAAATTGGTATGTAAACATATATCGATATTAAGAATACTAATTTGATTTCGACTTGGTATTTGACATAGGACTTACATCAAGCGGATTGGAAAAACTCGCAAAGATGGGGCAGCAAGCAGTAAAAGTTTCTCGAAGAGATCTTGCGTTAACTATTTCACAAGTACGTACGTATATTAAACAATCTCTATTTCCTGATTGGTACAATTTTTCGTGTAACACATTGATTTTGCAGGGCTTAACCGGTGCAACCACTGTTGCGGGCACTATGGCCATTGCTCACAGGGCAGGTATTAAAATATTTGTTACTGGTGGAATTGGCGGTGTTCACCGCGATGGTGAAAATAGTAAGTTTCAAAAAAAAAAAAAAAATTTCATTGATTCAGAGATCTCATAATTGACGTAGGTTTCTATCATAGCGATGGATGTGAGTGCTGATCTAACAGAATTAGGAAGAACCCCCGTAACTGTCGTATGCGCAGGGGTAAAATCAATTTTAGATATCGAGAAAACTTTAGAATACTTGGTTTGTATGCTTAATTGTCATAATTATTGAAACTGATCTAGATTTTCATATATGGACTATTAATCAATATAAAACCATTGCCTAGTCAGGAAACTCAAGGAGTTACTGTTGCAACATTTGGTGATTCTGCCGACTTTCCGGCTTTTTTTACTCCAAAAAGTGGATTTAAAGTAATATTTATTATTATTTTTACGAAATTTAAAGTAGAAGTTTGTTTGATGATAATTCTTTGATATATGATACAGAGCCCGTCAAATTTGCCAACTATACGTGAATGTGCAGCTCTAATCAGTAAGATATTTACATATTACATTGCTACCAAATCAAATACTTTAATTATCACTTCATATAGATGCAAATACCAATCTTGAACTTAACAGTGGTATTCTGATTGCTGTTCCAATTCCGGAGAACGAAGCTGCTGAGGCAAAAGAAGTACATAACGCAATAGAGAGCTCTTTAAAAGGAATTGCGTAAATATATTGTTTTTGTGCTATACTTGTTGAATACTTCAGAGAGGCTTTTAATCTTATATAAATTTCCTTCTATTAGGAATAAAGGGATTAGAGGCAAAGATATAACACCGTATTTACTTAAAAGAGTGAACGATATCACTCGTGGTAGATCTTTAAAATCAAGTAAGAATAATTCTTATGAATATTCATTATTTAAATTCATCTCATTCTTTTCAATACCTTTATGTTAGATATCGCATTAATCAAAAACAATGCTATGGTTGGGAGTCAGATTGCAAAATGTCTTGCAGAACTTGGTTACAGCAGTAAAAATATGAAAGAAGTGGGTTTATGTTAAATTGTTTTATGTAGAAGAAATAAAAATTCGTTTCATTTTATAACACAAAATTGATATAACTAGTGGTTGAAGCTGGTTTTAATAATTCGGGTTTATCACGTGAATTTTGTGATATTTTAGAAATTTTATCCAATTAAATTTTAATAAATTCTAAACTATCATAAAATTCATGTGATAAACTAGAATTATTAAAACCGGTTCCAACCTCTAGTCTACACAATTTATACTGATTTATAGGAACTAGTTGAAAAAGCATATTCAGAAGTGAGTTTATGCTAAATTTGTCTTATGTAAAAGGAATACAGATTTTATTTATGACACAAAATTGATATAAAAAGTCAATACAATTTATACTAATCTATAGGAACTAATCGAAAAAGCAGATTCATCATCAGTAAAGTAGTATATTGCATTATTTGTAATATTGTATCTGTATTGAATTAATAATTTCTTTAATATCTATAGTTGTTAATAATTGGTGGTTCTTCAATGGATATAACTTCGACACTTAATCCGATTGAATCCAAAAATCATTCATTTTATCACACATCATCTCCAGGTTTTGTAAAGCAATCCGCTGGAGGAGTTGGAAGAAATATTGCAGAAACAGCGCACAAGCTGAGTGCAAACCCTTTATTAATATCTGCTGTTGGCAATGATTTAGCAGGGTGTTGGTTAATTGAGAACATGAAAAAAATTGGAATGGTACAGTCATTGGTTTTTTTTGAGGTTTGATCCGGTTAGATGTTATTAAGTTATAAATTTCTTTATATAGGATACTAAAGGTATAGAAGTTGTAGAAAATCAAAAAACTGCAATATACAATGCGATAAATGATCCTTATGGTCAGCTTGTTTGTGCTGTTGCTGACATGAATATATTTGATAGTATATCTTCAGAAAATGTATAATCTCATATATATTCAAGGTATCAATTTCAATTTATTTTTCAAGAAATTAATTTCAGTTTATTTTTAATAGGTCACCAAGTTTATAGAATCAAACAAGCCAAAATTGGTTTGTTTTGATGGAAATATTTCTGTAGAATGCATGAAAACAATATTGGATATTTGTGATAAAAACAAGATATCAAGTAATATTAAATATATATATTATTATATTTATTAGTTTATTGCCTTAAGCTAACCTAGCTTTTGATTATCAAAAAACAAATGCTTAGCTTTCTTTGAACCAACATCAGTTCCAAAATCATTTAAAATTTTAAAAGATCAATTATTATTTTCAAAATTGTTAACTACACATGCATTAACATATATAACGCCAAATATTTATGAACTTAAAGCAATGTATTATGAAGCTGAAAAATATGGATATTTTAATTTTGATAATCATTTGTGGTTTCAAAAATTAGATGAGCTAAATATTGGGCAAAAATTTAGAACAGGTATATTTTATATAACAATTTTAGATTTGACTGCAATATAGGCTATAAATTTTATGGTTATTAAATAAATATATAAAAATTAAGGATTGCTAGTTAACAAAGTCGTCCGCCTATATTGTAGATCTAACTATACTGCAAAAATTATAGATTTTTATTTTAATGATTTTATTATTTCAGATGTGGAGCGTATCATTACAAAACATCCAAAGTTACTATTTCTTCAAAACGATGGTATTTTGGTCCAAGTCGTGAATTTCTTACCATATTTACCAAATATTATAGTCAAACTTGGAGAAAATGGCATATTAATGGCACAAGCCTTGGATGAATTAAAAAGTAATTTTGAAACAAAACAAGATAATAAAATTGAATTTGTTATTCCTAAAAGACAAAAAAAAGGCGGAACCAGGTAAACTTTTTTTTTGGTAATAACAATATTTATAATTTGCTGACTAATTTGATATTGTATATTAGGTTTAGATACTTTGAACCAATTTTACTTGATCCGCAAAAGCACATTAATTCTTCCGGTGCAGGAGACAGGTTTGTAATATCTTTATTGTTAGCAGTAATTTTTTATTATTAAGCATTTTTTATTTGAATTTTGTTGCTATTATTTAGTTTTGTTGGTGCGCTGATTTCTGGGTTAATGCTGCATTCAGATTCTAATATTGATAAAGTGATTGACATAGCACAAAAAGTAGCAGTTATGACATTACAATCACATAATTCTGTTAGTGAACATATTAATTCTGATCTATTAAACCTTTAAAATAAAAGATTCATATCAGGATAATGCCAAAATTTAGGGACTTGATTTAAAAATATAAACCTTGCATACTTTAACCTAAGTCCTAACTCAAAAAAAATAAACACCTCAAAGTTTTAAAATTTCATATTAAATAAGTTCAAATTTCATCGTCATAAAAGTGCCTAAGGGCATCCTGTCAAGGCAAAAAAATTTCATCGACTATTTCAATATTATTCCCGACAATTAATAAGAAATCACTTTTTTTTCATGGTTTATTTTTTATTTTTTTTAAAAAAATTATTTAAGATAAAATAAATGTAAACTTTCGATTTTGCGATTTGATTGGTTGACTACAAAAACTCAGTAAAATCGTGATTTTTTGTTTTGTAATTTGATCGGTTGGTTGATCACTTAAAATACACTGTAAATGTCATATACAGAAGTTCGTCTGATTAGCTAATAAATTCAACTTAATCTTACATTATTTATATAGTTTAGAGTACTTTTAAAAAAAAACGAAAACCGACCATAGTAAAGTGAAAAAAAACATATAGAAGGTTTCATTAGAGTTGTAGAACTTCATAGTCAAAAATGAGATCTAATTCTTATTTGTTTAAAAAAATTAGCCTAGTAATAAGTTGATTTTATCAGGTTAGTACTATCTGTTGTTTTGATTTGGTTAGGTTAAAGGTCTAAAATAAGGTGGTTTATGTCTTTGTTATTGTTTTTAGTTAGCAAAGTTTATACAGTATAGTTTCTATATTTATTTATAAGAGAGTTCATTAACTTTAAGCAAAATGACAATAATAGTTTGTGAAGCTAGTTTGTATAAAATATTAAAATTTTATACAATCTCAATTAAAGATTTGAAAATAAGTCTTTTTAGTGTGATATTAAGATAATAAAAATTTAGTTAAAGAGGTATGTAGTAGAAAGCATAATAAGTATTAATTTTGTAAATAAACTCTTCTTGTTGGTTTTTAAATAAATTTAGATCTACTGAGTTAATATATTCAAATATATTAGTTTAAATAAGGTTGAAGATTAGTAATAAATTTAATCATATATGTTAGTGACTAAAAGAGCTAGATAAATTATAGTAAAAGCAGTTAGTATTGTAAAATATATATATAAATATATTTTACAAAAATAAAAATAAAGAAAAAGTTTATTTAATAAAATTTTAATTTTAAATAATTTAAAAGAGTTGAGTTTAAAGTTTATAAACTTATATATTACTTTTAAATCATTTAGCCAGATTAATTTTTAATTAATTTAAAAAATCAAAAAGTTCTATTGTAAGTTGCATTTTTGAAAAAACTATATTAACAACTTTTATTTAAGTTTTAATAAAATATTAATTCTAAAAAATTATATAGTATAGGTTATAAATACTAATATAGTAAAAAATAAATTATATTGTTTAGCCAATAAATTAGCTAAGTTATTAAGAATATTATTAGAGTGGTCTTATACTTTGTAAAAGTTAATTTAAAGATTGTAAAATTTAATAATATTAATTAAAATATTATATAAATTATGTTAAATTTAAACAACTTTATTTGTGAACTCTTTCTGCTAATTTACATTTTTATAAAAAAGCAAAATCAAAAATCATAAGAAAAAAAGAAAACTAGAATAAGAATAACCTTTTAAATAACTAATAAATAAATTTTTTTTTTTTTTAAGATAAGGTCATGCCCTCAAGTCTTTATTAGTATATTGGTTATAGCTAGTACAATTTTTATCATACATCATCTATTACTATATATCTATTTAGACATAGAACTTAGATGTCTTTATCTGTGACCTAAACCTACCAGAGCTTTGTATTGTATCCCACTTACATCTAACCTAGATTTTTGTTTCACTACCAATTATATTAGATAACCTGCATATTCCTCTATATTTTATAATCTATTTTTCACAACTTCCAAATTGGTCTACTGAGTCATTTGCTTCTTTTGAGCTTCCATCTTTGGTTTGCCTGAAGGATGTCTCTCTAGCACATATCTTAAGCCAGATTTCTGCTGTTACTGCTATTTTTCTAATTCAGATACTGGTAGCATATATCTCAAGTCAGATTTCTGCTATCGCTGCTGGTTTGCAACCCTTTTTGGTTTTAGCATTGTTTAAATGAATTGTGCATTTAATCTGCCTCTTAAGTACTCCTTTTTATGATATAGTAGAACTATGTTTTGAAAATAGTACTTCTATTTTCTTCTAGCCATTGGCTAACGTTTCCTTTCTACTTAAACATATGAAAACTTATCTTATGTTTGTACTGCTCAAAGCTGGTTTGCATCTTTCTGTATGTACTGACCTACACAGATATCTGTATAAATCTGTACTTCTACAAATGCTTTATACTTGTTCGCAAAGATCACTTCCAATTTAAATATTTCAACTTTAATTGGTACAGCATTTATGTTGGTATGTTTCATTTGTTTTACTATAGGTTTCCATATAGGTGTGACCAGAGCTCCAGTTTGGTACCTTTAAACATACAAAACAGGCTACAACTTTTCTATATATACAGCTACCTTCTATTTTTAGTCATTCCACAGCACCAGAAGTGCTTTCAATCTTGATAAAATTAATCCTTTATCACAAACCTTCCATGCATGTACTACTTCTCTTACTATTCTAGTGCATGTTACTTTGATATCATCCTCCTAATCAATTATTTCTCAAGTTGGATATGAAGATGTTAGTACTGCCCCATCTTCAGAGGACTTATATGCACAATACTTTATATAACAGAACCTTCTGTGATGCTACTATTACCTACAATGACTGTATTCTGCAAAGTCGGTCTTCTTCTAGGAATTTCTTTTTTTATCATGTACTGCACTTGAACTTAACCACAGGGCTTTGTGTTCAATTACAGACTTCTTATAGATTACAGAGACTAAAATCTTTTTGATTTTGCCTTCAACCAGACTTGAACTATTAACTTTGACTATAGAGGTATAAGAGCTTAACAATTAAGTTATGAAACCCACATCCAACTAAGAAATAATTTCAAAAAAGAAAAAAAAATAAACTTAGTTAAAACAACAATTTAAAAGAACCAAAGCAAAATAAATATTTTTGGATTCTTGTAAAATTAAGATGAAATTTTTTGAAAAATTTGGAGATTGACTTAAACCTTGAATAATAGTAAATAAACACATGATACATAACAACAATTATTGGTAAACAAAGTACACAAAAAAATATGTTCTTTTTAGAAAATATAAGCATATTAGCAAAATCAACAAAAAAACTATAGGAGATTCTAAAATAGTAAACATCAATAGAATAGTCTAAAAACAGATATTTGACTCAAAATAAAAACACCCTATAACTAATTTTTAATTTAACATATACAAAGAATAGGTAATATAGTTCATAGATATTTAAATAGTTGTAAGTTAAATCAAGTACTAAGAATAACCATGTACAAAAACTCAAGTGACATCAAAATTATAGCTAAAGAACTAACAATTAATGATCCAAAAAATAATACAACAAAAGACTTAACATTATATAGTCAAATAATTGAAGCTCTTAAAGTTGAAATAAAAGTAATGATAACTCTATCAAAAAAGTTTATTAAAAATTAAGCCAACAAAATAAGAATGACAAATCTTAATCTAACATCAGTTGAATATATAGTAGGTATAAATAAAAAAAAATACAAAAAAAGATGAAAAAATAGAAAGAGTAGAAAAAATCATAATAAAAAAGAAAATCTTAACAATAACACATTTACAAAGAAAAAATGGCAAACAATTAATAATAAAATAAAATTGAGTACAGATATTGAAGTTATAACAAATTAAATTAAAAAATTTAATATAGAACAGCAACACCAAGAAGCAGGAATAAACTATTTTATAGAAATAAGAATGAAAGTAGAAAAAGAAAAGGTCAATAAAAATATATCAGTAGAATCAACAGAAACTAAACAAATGAAGTTAGAAGACCTTATATTGATGTCTATTTCCTTTTTCTTCTTCTCCTCCTCTTCAACCTTAATAGAACACAGTAATTGGTCTCTTAAATACAGAACATATACAGGAAATAAGTCCTTTAAGGGCAATTTTCCCATCTATATACTACTTGGTGAAATAAAAGAAAAAAGAATCAAAAATATTTAATGAATCTAGAAGAGAATAAACATATAAGAACAATCAAAGAAGCTTTCAAAAAGGAAATAATTGAATTAAAATTGATTTTGATTGTAAATACAATAGAGATGAAGCAATCAAAAGAATTAATAGAAAAGAAAAAGAATAACTCAAGCTTATTTCAGAAAAAACAAGAAACAAAAATAAAGAAAAATACTAAGTTAAGCAGTCAAACTTTAAAGGAAAGCAACCTGAATATAAAATTTATAAAGGGAAAGAAGATAATGAAAATCTTCTTATAGAAAAAGAACTAAAAGAAACTTATACAAACTTTTTAACTATTTGGGACCTACCAGCGAACATAAATAGAACAGAATTAGATTTCATTTGCAAGAAAATTAGAAAGACCCACATAGTTAAAATTAAAAAATTGAAGTACAAAGCATTGGCAGTAATCAAAACAGATAGATATGAAGATAAAAACATTCTTTAGTTATTACTAATAGATGATAATAAACTAGTAAAAGTAATAAAAGGTAATAAAAACTACAAAGAAAGAAATTACCAAAACCAATTTATAGCAAAGTTAACAGAACTTCTTAAAAGTACATTAGAAGTACTTCTTTTGTAATATCTAAAAAGTAAGAATGCAAAGTCTGTTTATATTCTATCAAACAGAAATGAAAATTAAAGAAGAACAGCAATAATTATCTTTGTAACTAAAGAGAAAATAATTTCAGCCCAAACTAAACCAATCAGATACAACAACTTTTGAGTCTACTAGGTAATAAAAGGAAAAAGAGAAACAAAAAAAAAAAAAAGTTCAAAAAACAGAAGAAAAGAAAATATAGATGAATCTGATTAAGATACAGACTCAGATAGGTATGAAATTTAAATTCTTAAGAA